TGGTGCTGAGTTGCTGGCTGGGGCTAAACCACGACAGTGGCACTGTGTGGAGCAGAAGGAAAGCTTGGGGACAGGAGCTGTCTCCCCAGTAAAGATGTGCCTTTGCGTTAGCTGGGTAATTTAGACAATTGATCCTAATGTGGAAACCAGGTTTTCTTAGTGGGATACAGTACATGAGAGCACAGTGCCTGTCACAGTGGCTTCAAGTCTAACCTATAAATAGCATAAATACTAGTACTGTTACTTATATTAAACAAGTGATGAGCTATTGTTTCACAGTGAGCTGTTGAGGATATTTGGCAGCCTTGGGGCTTGGACGACATCAGTTTTGACTTTCAAAATCAAACTGCCACCTTGTGGTACTGTGCGGGAGAAGTCTGTAGGAAATTGCATAGCAAAAATTTAAGTACGTAGTAAAAACTGGTCCCTTTGCCCCACCAATGACTTACAGCATGTATTCTTAATTATATTTTTACTATACTTCAGGCAAACTAATAAAAATTCTTATGTCATGCTTTTAAAAGTCAATCTAATTTTTGTGATTGTTTGTCAATATGAAACATAAAACCATTTCCTCATTCTTGTATGTAATTGTACTGAAACCACCAGTGCACTCATATGAGTAAGTTTTTCAAGATTAGACCCAAATGCAGCTTACAGGAAAATACTAACTATAAAGGCTATAGGTATCTATAATTGTGTCCTTTCTCTTTTTTAAGCTCATTAATGATAAGAAAAATTTCTGTGAGAGTCAGAGCAGGGCCACACAAATTACTGAAGATGAGCCAGTTGTAGTGCGTCATCTGGTCTGAGGTGCTGTCCCTGTGCATCCTCTTGGACCATGACAGATGTGAGGTAATTTTAATCAGCTTTCTCTTTCACTGTGGGCCAAGCCATCACAAATTACTTCACCTTGCTTGTCAACCAAGAGCAAGCATGATGGGTCAGCAGATGTGCAGTAATCTGTTACAGCAACGTGCTTGTGCATCACAACCTTCAAGCAGCAGACCAGCATGGACATGTGCTGGCACGATCCTTTCCGTATACAGCTAGATTGAACGCCCATGTGTCATGTAATACTGTTTATAAAAGATGATAGATGAAAAGCTGGTCCATTTCAAATCAAAAAGTGTAGCTGAGGTGAACAATTGATTGCAGCCATGTATCAGTGCTTTGTGCATCCGTGACGTTTCAGGAATACGGTGGTTTAAAAAATACGGTGCAGGTAACAAGATGCCTGTAAGATCTGGAATTCATATCTTGTCCCTCTGGTCATGCCAGACAAGCATTAACACTTTTTTAAAATCATGAAGTGGAGTCATCCACTACTGAAAGGAACAAAGTGAGAGGGAGGCAGTCAGGCAGGAAGGAATGTAAAGTTACGGAGAGCCTGATGATGACTCTCCTCTTAAGCAAGCCTAGAAACACCCAGATGAACTGCCTGGGACCTATAGCACCAGGGCAAGCCATTTTCCTTCCCATTGTGTCTACTACAAAGTGTAATACCTCAGTGAATTATAAAGCATTCTTCATCCAAAAGTGCACAGGTAGAAGGTACTCACACATTTCACAGTTCTCCATGTACTGCTGTCCTGTAACACTTTCGTTGAACACTGGCTCTAGGAGAGAGCTGGTGAGCATTCCCATCGATGGGGGTCCTGCAGGTCCTCATGGGGCTGCCTGAGGAGCCTGGCCCCTGGAGACCCTATGAACACAGAGGCAGCTCCAACTTCCAGTATCACCGGGCTCAGATTTCCCCATCAGCCCACTTGGCAGCCAAACTCCCAGGAAGGATAAACATGACAATTTCTTCTTAATGGTTGTGGTGGCATCCACTTTGCTGGGTGATTTAAATCAAGGATGGATAGTCTCCTTCTAGCTGTGGTCTCATCCAGCAGCCCAAGTAGGTGCAGGTATGCACCACTTCTATGTGATGCACGGCAGCAGCTCATGCTGGCCATGTGTGGGTTCGCGTCGTTGCAGACTGCTGTCAACACAGGGACAGGAGCAGCAAAGAGAGAAGGAAAAGGGAGGGAGGAGGAAGTGTTCCATGGGTGATGGGGTTGTGAGGGAGAGGGTCATAGGGAAGGGTCTGAATTTAGATGAGTGTGCACGGGGAAGGAGCCTGTGGACCCACATGGCCTCTTGTACTTGCACGTGAGTTAATTTGCATGTAAGTTCCCTGTGGTGCATGAGGTCCCTCACCCCAAAACACAGCTGTATGGCTCTGCAGCCCCCCTATCCCAGTGTTTCTCCTTGCTGGGAGCACCATTTGTGGCAGTGCCCCTGAGCAAACTAGGGAAATCCTGCTGCCCAGGGTTTTCTACAGGAGACTGTGCTAGATCAACACAATGGTCCCTTGGGGCTTTACAGATCAGGGTACCTGTGAGACCGGTGTGGTGGGGGGCTCTTGTGGAGGCCTGTCTGATGGCTGGAGGAATGAAAGCGGGACCAACACGCTGAATGCTGTCCTGGGGAAGAGTGAGCTACCTCCCACAGAAAGAGTGCCTCGGGGATTTTTTTTTTTCCCTGAAATGCATTAATGACAAGACATCTGCAGACAGAGCATCACATCCCATTGCAGTCAATAAATCAGCAATGGTAACAACGAAAGGAAACGCGAGTTCTTCTTTAGCTGAGAAACAACACCCAGGACTAGTGTCTTTTAATGTAAGTGTATGGCAGGAGAAGAGGATAACCATGCGGTTAATGAAGCTTAATGTGTATAAAACCAATGGAAATAACTCTTATTTTGGTGTTATTGCTAGTGTGTCTGTCCTCCCTTTCATAAAAAGAGTGTGGTGATATCTAAGAGTGGCATTTCGATGCCTGATATGCTCCTCATATAAATAGAACAAGCAGATCAGCATGACTGAGTGATAAAATTACCTTCTGGTCTTCAGGAACTTCAGCATGTAACTGTGCTATAGGGATCTCAGTGTACACCTCTTCACAGCACAAACAAATACATTTGGAAATGGATCTGGAGGAGACATACAAAGAGGGAGAGAATACGGAGGTGAAAATGACTCGAGCTGCAGCTGCAAAATTGGTGAAAAAGGCTTTTCTCGAAGCCCTGAAGTCCAATGACTTTGAAACACTGGAAGAGCTCTTGAGCCAAAAGAAAATAGATGTGGACACGGTGTTTGAAGTGGAAGATGAAAACCTGATTCTGGCATCCTACAAACAAGGTAACTGTGGCAGCATTCACCAGCCAGGAAGTAGATGGGTTTGAGTGATTTTCAAGAAACTGTGGCCTTTTGTCTCTTCTGAAGCTGCAGCGTAAGTCGATTCATAGGCAGTGACGTCTCGGTAGGTTCATATGGCTGCGGTCATGGCAGAAGGGGAGCTTATCAGCTGTACCCGCCGGGCTTGGTGGAGGGCAAGGCAGAGGCCAGCCTGAGCCTCCATGCCACCAAGGCAGCTGCTGCAGCTTCAGGGGAGTCCAGAAAGAGGAGCCCTTTGCCGTTTCCTCACAGAGAACTTGGGTGCAAAGCCCAGAATACAGACATGCAGGCTAAGTGTGGTATATACATTTCTTACATGTGCCCAGTCACATATACAGACGGTTTAGAAACACAAAATCTTAAGTATCTTCCATTTTCAGTTTACAGTAGTAGTAGAGTGAATTCTCCCTAGCTCAGGAGAGCTAAGGAAACCCTGTGGACCTTGGATGTTGCTGGATGGGAGGAGATTTATTTTTCAAACTGACAGAAAGTGAGGATGCGCTAGTTTATCAAAATAGAAAAATCATCTAGAAAAACACAGCAGAAAAGATATCTATTTTGGAATGTAGAAAACTCAAACCAGTTCTCCGCCAGACACTGGTTGAGTTTCCAAAAACTTAAAACTTAAAGCAATAAACCAAGTTTGCTCTTTGCTAAAATCAACATACTTCATGACCTACTTGCTAACAGACTCTTTGTGTGTCTCTAGAAAACAGTAATGATCAGCCTTTGCCAGAAGTTAATCATATGTAGAGATAAACACCTCCAGTCTCAGCAGCACAGCAAATGCACTTTCTTTTCTGTGGCATAAAGAAGGGACAAGATCCCAGCTCTTCTCATTTTCTGTGTTTACCTCTTATTTAACGATTGGCTCCTGTTCTTTTGATTTCATTAGGGTGAGGGTGATACAGTCATGCCATACTTCCCCTAGGAACAGTGTCTGAACTAACCCACACAGTGATGAATGTATCTTAAAATACCTTTTCTTCTGTCTTCAGCAAGCTGACATGCATTCTGGTTGTGGTTTGAGACTACGGGATTAATGCACAGATTTTTAATTGTAGATCATTTGACTGCAAGCATTAACCTGTCTCTTTTGGAGAAGGCTCTCCTTTCTCCCAAAGGTGGAGAGGTAAATGCAGCCTATGACCTAAATCACAGCAGTGTGTTCACGGTTTTTGTCTGAAAGGCAGAAGGTACTCTATCAGCTCTCATGCAAACTCTACTTTTATTCTGAATCCCAGATAACCGTGATGTGAGAGGGGGGTTTCCGTGGGGAGGGACAGGGGAGAAAAGTTAAGCCCCACCATCCCACCATTCAGACAGCCTGAGCTCTGCCACAGCCCTAAGTGATGAAGTGGGAAGGAGATGCCCTGGGTGAAAGAGTGGCTTTGCTTCCTCTCTTCCAGAGAAGCTGAGAGCTCCCAAGGACACTGACCTTGCATGCGCCATGGCTTTTTCATGTTTCTAACCACAGAAACAGGCAAGCTGAATGAGGTCTCCCAATGGAGCCCACATCTGCTTCCTGCTTAGTGCAAAATGATTTGACCTCATTCATCTCATACATCTTTAGTATTTTTTGCTGTGTCTTTTACATAACAGTATTCAACCAGGCATTCATCCAAGGAGAAATAGATAAATCAAACCCAGAAGATTTTACAGGCACATTCTAGCTATGATGCAGCTGATGTATTTGAAAAAAAAAAAAGACAAAGAAAAAAAGACAAAGAAAAAGTTTTAGACTTCTCCTGCCCTTCTGGACTTTATTATTGTGGTTTACTTTTTTTAAACAAATGATTATAGTAATCACTTCTGAGACTGTCTCTGTGCAGTCATTAAGCATGTAGTCTTATTCTGGGAATAAATATTTAAGTGTTATTTGGTCTTACACCTGTTTGTAAGTAAAAAAAAAAAAAAAAGTGAAATTTTCAGAGAAAAATCCAAACATTTTGGATCCAAATTTCATGCTAAAGCATCACTGCTTCTATTTGGCTCTTCAACCTAATTTACATCAGCATCCAAACTCCTCACTCCATGCTCCTCAGGGGCAGTAGTTGACAGAAGGTTGTGATACAGCTGCATCCACATTGCCAGGGCTCATCTATGTGCAATGCATCACTGGAAGTCTGAATCCAGGTCCTGACATGCAAGATCCTGCAGTCTCCCATACAGAAACAGCAGGATGAGCTATCTGTTGAGTTGCTGGCCTAAGTAAATGCTGCCGCCTTATTCCAACACCACCTTTGTTCAGCTATTGGCAGGCTGAAGATCCCATTTCCCCCATATGTTTTAGCTGGTGGCATCTCAAATGCTCTAAGCATATTTTTTTAATTGAGTCTACAAGGTCACAAGAAAAACAAAAGCTGCCTTCAGAGTACATCTACACGGGAATTATCTCTCCAAAAGGCAGGCTATTCAGTACACAAAGTAAAAGTGCTTAATGAAAATGAAGTTATGCTTGAGAGAACTTCATGTGCACTAAACTGTATCTGGTGAAATTACAGTAAATTAAAGCAAAACTCCAACCCTTCCTTCCCCCTCAATTATCCTCAGTAGGTGGATAGTCCAAAGAAAAATCTTTGCCAAGGATGGTAATACATTTTCACTTTGTACAGGATACTGGCTTCCTAGCTACAAATTAAAAATATCCTGGGCAACTGGACTTCATCTAGCTGTCATGTATGGGCATCTGGAGAGCCTTTCAGTCCTACTCAATCACAAAGCTACAATCAACTGCCGGCCCAATGGAAAAGCTGCAATCCACGTAGCGTGTGAAATGGCAAATGTTGAGTGTGTCAAGATCCTTTGCAACCACGGAGCTAAGCTGAACTGCTTTTCAATGAGCGGGCAGGCGCCCTTGCACTTCTGTACGACACGAACCTCCATGCCTTGTGCCCAGCAGCTGGTTTGGAGAGGTAAGCTAAAGCTCTGGAGGGTCTCTTGTGGCATGCCCAGAGATGGTGGGCATCGTCTTTGGGTTCTCTTAGGAGACAATTTGTCAAAGTACATGTGTATTTATCCACTCCATCCACAACTGACTCGCATCTTCATCTCAGACTCCTTTTCCCCATCTCTTTGATCAGACGAAGTTTCTCCCATTCTGACTCCTCACCCCATCTGTCCTTCCCCTCTCCCTGGCCACCTGCCCTTTACTCCAGGGTTGTTTCTCATTTCAGTGCCTCCAGCCCACTGCCCGGTCAGTCCCTCAGCAGAAGGGCTCCTCTGAATCAAGGAGTTCCTACTTCTCTATTTTTTTTCTATCATCTTCATCTAGGTTTACTATTGAGATGTTTTCACATGAAAGTGCATCCCTTTCCTCTTCTTGCTTGTTCAAATTTCCTTGATCTCAGCAAAATTCTTCCAACCTCTTGTTTTTTGAGACCTGGCCTTGAAAAACTGGATGCAGCTTTTCATACCATCTCTTCATTTGTCAGCAGCCAAACTCCTGCATCTATATAGGGATTGGGGAAAAAAAGCTATTGATACAAGATTTCTGTTTTCCCAAAGTAAGATACATTATGCTGCTGGTCATCTGTAACAAATGAAGCTATGAATAGATGTAATTCCTTGATAAATATATTGGTGTCACACGCTGTTTCCTTAACATGAAGATGCTGACTCCGGACACAGTAAAAGACAGACATAAAAGGTACAGCAAAGTCAGGCAGTTCAAGTCTTAAGTTACAGACAGATTGCCCTATTTATCACACTGTGCCATGGCAAATACAAACACTTTGGGGTGGTTTTTTTGCTACATGTGTTGTTAGTGAAGGCTTTTCCTGAGATGCAGAGCCCAAGTATGCTTTGTGGGCAAGGCAATCTGCAGTCCCGAGTGAATAACCACATTGCTTTTCTTATGCTGAAACGATACATATTATTTTGTTTGGTAGAAAGGAAAATAAATGCTGCCAGTTGTATCCTGCCCAAAGCAAACAGTCCTGACAGCAGGAGTTGAATTTGCTACCATGGAAAAGCTTAAAAGTCAAATGTAGTCTTATAAAATGTAGCACAGGATGAATGCAAATGAAAGGATGTATTCTGTAGGCTTTCTCCACCCACCCATCAGCAAGAGAATAATACTACTTTACAAGCCAGCCTTTATCCCAAAGCACTCGGTAAGCTCAAATCTCCATATGAGCTAAATGTCAAGACTCCAAACAAAATGGGAAAGGTCTGGAGCAAAATGTGGCAGGTGTGCACTTACACATTGCAGCACCACCCAAGAGCCGAAGCCAGGGTTTCAGTTAATGTCCCTGCACCAAGGTTTCCAAGACACATCTCCCACCCTGCCATCTCCACTCAGTGGTGTCACACTGGGTCAATTCATGTAAATGCAGTTTAACCACTTCTGGTTTGGGCAACCTGCCAACCAAGCAAAACTGACCCCATGGTCATTAATCACCTCCAAACTTAAGACTGCGGATACTCTCACGGACATCTAACACGACTAACACGCAACACGGCTTAACGGCATTAGCGCACAGGTTTTGCAGCCCAGAGGTGATTTCTGATGCCTCTTCCTCCCTCCCTGTCCTTACGCCTCAGTCTTCGTGTACGTTTGGCCACGTAAGGGCTTTTGCGAGCCCGGAGAGAAGAGGGGGTGGCCTCACAGCGTGCACTTGCTCTTGCACCGAGTACTTTATCGACGGTTTGCCAAGGCCCCAGCTTCAAGGAGCCCTTGCCTACGCAGCCGCGGCCATCGACATCAGCGCCCTCCACCTCTGGGAGAAGCCCCTTGCCCCTCCATCCTGCTGGCCCCCGCTGCGGTTTTACCGCTTTGCTTTGGAGAGTGGGGGTCTTGCCAGCCTCCCCCCTTTTCTAATAAGCAGCGTGCAGCGTAATTCCTGGAGCCGTTTGCCTTGCTTCCGAGCAAAGCGCGGGCGGGCGGCGAGCGGGCGGCGCGGGGCTGGG